AGAAAACTGGGTCGAGATGAGGACAGTTCAATAGGGGAAGCAAGAGCTGCACACACAAGCAAAGCAAAACAAGGAATGAATTCCCTACTTCCCTGCAGGTGTTGAGCCATCTCTGGGAGAGCAGGGACCCACCACAGGGAATGCTGGCTTGGGAACACACCACCATCACTCCCGATGTCCTCCATAGGGTCACAGATCCTGCCAGATATGCTCCACAAATATTGCTGTGTGGGCTCCCCTCTCTGTGTTCACAGCTCCTTGTCAGGAGGTGCTCCAGCTCAGGCTTCCCACAAGATCGTAGCCTCCTTTGGGCATCCACCTGCTCCTTGTGGGTCTCCTCCACGGGCTGCAGGTGGATCTCTGCTCCCTGTTAACCTTCACAGGCTGTAGGAGCACAGCTGCTTCACCATGGTCTGCACCACAGGCTGCAGGAGAAACTCAGCTTCGACACCTGGAGCACCTCCTCCACCTCCTTCTCCACTGACCTCGGTAATTTTGCATGTTCTCAGTCCTCTCTTCTCTGGCCCCAGTTACCTCTGTGCAGCACCTTGTTTTTCCTTCTTAAATCTGTTATCCCAGAGGTGTTACTGCCATCACTGACTGGCTCAGCCTTGAGCAGCAGTGGGTCCATCCTGGAGCCACTGGCATTGACTCTGCTGGACACAGAAAAGCTTTTAGTAACTTGTCACAGGAGCCACCCTGGTAGTCCCCCCACCCCACACACCTGGCTATGCAAACCCAGTGCAGCTCATTAGGGTTGGAAGAGACCTTTAAGATCAAGTCGAACCATCAGCCCAGCACCACCATCATGTTCACCATCTCCTCAAGCTCCATTTCCACACATTTTTTGAACACTTCCAGGGATGGTAACTCCACCACTTCCCTGGAGAGCCTGGTCCAGTGCTTGACAACCCTGGTAGGCAGGTGTATTTGTCTAAGGGATGGTAGAGTACAGCTCCAGCAGCTGATCTTCTACTCAGAGTCCTTAGTGTTTCTCAGGCTTTCTCTTTCCTCACTCAGTTCTGCCACCAGGCTTAGATCATCCATCTGATCACACCTCACATAATGTATACGTTTTCTTTGCTGCCCTCTTGGGTCTAATCCGGCAGACACTCTCTGCCACCACACCAATGCTCCTGTGGTGGAGCACACACCACACTGGGAGGATCACCCACCCCACCTGTGCTGGCCCCAGAGCTCAGCCAAGATGATCTCAGCACTGGTCACAGCCGCCAAGGAGCTGCTTCGGCCAACTGTTCTGCCCCTCCTCATCCCCAAAAAGTAATATTAAGTGGAGAAGATGTAACTTTTATTGAAGTGCAACACAAATAAGATATGTGACACAGTGAGGAGGGATCAGCTTGAGACTGCAGAGGAGTTATGATTCCTTAAGCAGAGGTTTGGCTAGATCACAGATGGCAGAGTCCAGCTTTTCAATGATGCTTATCTCACCGTGGGTACTAGTGGCATATTTATTCTTGATTGCCTGTAGAGCAACAAGGTTGATTATGTTTCCCCTATTCAAGAACTTAAGGCTCTTCCAGCTTACTTGAGGCTTAGTAGTCAAGCCAAGCCCATCCTAGCACACAAGGCCAGTTCATGGCTGCCTCATGCCACCTGACCGAGACAAAGACCTTCAGCTGACGTGAACAGGTCTCACCCAAGTCTGACAGCAATGGCTCAGCTAAGCCAGGCTCAGCATGCCATGTGTCAGCATTTAACCACACATACCCTCTCCCTCACTGTGAGATTCCTACCTTCTGTGGGACAAGACCCTTCTTGACAAGAACCACATTCTTCACCATATGCTGCATACTTGGGAGAATCTCACTTTCGGTGTAAAATGTGCAGTCTTGCAGAGACTGTAACTGAAAGAAAGGGAAACCATTAGCCAAGCCTATTGGAATAATCCAAGGGCACTGGGTTCTTTGGTCTGGCTTGGGCAGTTGTGGTCTCTTGTCTCACTAGAGTTAACAGAGTTAACTTGTCTCACAAGTTAACAGGTGCTGCCTTACTGCTGTCCCTTTGTAGTGGGCCACAGGGAGACAGGAACGTGGTGAGATACCATGAGGGAAGGAGAAGACATGCACTTGGCCCAGAGTGGCTTTTAAGCTGGTGCACCGGCTAGGAACTGGTCTGACAAGCAAAACTTACCTGCTTGCTTCCATTGAGGAGCTTCACAGACAGAAAGCAGCTGTGGCAATGCTGGAAGGAAGGAAGTGAACCATATCATAGTCCACAATGCACAACTCTATCAGGTACCAGGCCAGAATGTATTGCTTGAAGTTCACCTGCAGTAAGTAAGAGTTGAGCATTGGCTGTCTGTCAAGCCTTGGTTTGGTGAAGCATGAAGCAATACTTCCTTAGAGAACATTTTCAGAGCTACAGGCTTGAAATTCAAGTGGTTTAACCACAGAGCAGTTCTGAGTTCTATTAGGCTGCTCATAGGCTAGGACCACCCCTTTCAATGACAGTCTAGCAGTGACCTGCAGTATCAGGGGCCAGGCATTTTGACACTGGGTTTTGGGTGGGATAGGCTCATGTCACATTTCTACATGGCGAACAGGTCTCCACCAGGCTTAACTATTAAACTATCGCAGTACTCAAAAGTTCTGAACCATTTTAACAAGTTGCCACAGTTAAGTATTGCCTTTTCCAGATGCACCTTACTTCCCAACACTACCTCTGCAATCCTTGAAGCTCTTCTTAGGAAGTACAGAGGGGTAGGGTGACCCAAATTAAAGTCCAGAGCTTTCAGAATCCTTATTTCCATCTTGCAGATCTGGTTTATTGAGCAAGTGTAATTAGTTGCCCAGGAAAACCTTTCAATACATAGGGGAACTGCCTCTTCATCTTTGGTGGCAATTAACATAGCTGTGACACCAACCAGTTGCAACTGCATGTGGAAAACAGCATTGTCCTGTAGTGAGAAGCAGCAGAAGTTTATCTGAGTGACTTAGGTCAGAACACAGCTTTTCAAGGTAGCCGGTGTAAGGTTTGTTGAATGGCAGCGTGGTCATACTGACATATACAGAATAACTATACATCTTATGCTACCTCTATTGGCATCTGCAGGGGTATTAGCAGACTTTGATATCAAATTAGGGAGAGGAGTAAGCAGTTTTGATATTGCAAGTTCATAGCCAAGAGGCAGTGCCTAGCCACAATTTAGTAGAATTGAATAATTCAACTGAAGATTGAACTGTACAGCTGAATAATTCAATGGAAGATTGAATCTCCTTTGTTGGTCAGCTGTACTTTGTTAAGGGTAGTACATCCAACCATGTGTGGTGTTCCTGATTAGTACTCACTGTGCTTTAGCTTAGGGAAAAAACACTGCCTGGCACTGGACAAGAGACTCTCACCTGCAGGAAGCGATCGATGAGCCCAACTGCCAAGTACAAGGTCTCATGGTGGAGGCCAAGCATCATGTGTAATGTCACGAGCTGGTCTATTAGCACAGCACGCATGTTCCCTGTGATCTTCTGCTTAGGTACTTGCATCTGACAGGTTTAGTTTCCTGTGTGGAAGGAATAGAGTTAAATAGATGCAGTCACTTACCTGAAGCATTTGCAATGCTTGGCCTCAGTGGCATTGTAAGGCATAAACCTTAGGATCACAGAATCATTTAAGGTTGGAAAAGACCTCCACGATCATCAAACCCAACCACTGACCCAATACCACCTTGTCAACTAATCCATGGCACTAAGTGCTATGTCCAGTCATTTCTTGAACACTGGTAGCTCCACCACCTCCCTGGGAAGCCTGTTCCAAAGCTTGACCACCCTTTCAGTGAAGATATTCTTTCTGATCTCCAGCATGAACCTCCCTTGGCACAGCTTGAGGCAATTTCCTCTTGTCCTGTCCTTATCCTCATCAAGGAATTGGGTACAGGTGTAGCCCATAGGCGTAGGCCACAGAACATAAACTTTGTTTGCTAGACACAGGCTGGAAAGAGCATGGTATTAGTACTACTATTTGATTGGCTTAACAACCACCATCTGTTCACTTTATCAGCTGTTTAATCTTACATTTTAAGTTGACAGAGAGCTTATTAATACCTCTGGAAAATCCACAGGTGGAAGTGAATACCAGCTTCAAGCCACATGTACAAGGACAGGTTCACTGCAAGTGTCAGTAGATGCCTACCAACCTCAAGGTGTCTCAGATGACTGTAGATGTCCTTTACATAGCTGCTGCACAGGTTTGGGTCATTACCGTCTTTCTCATCTATGCCCTTAGCATCATCTGGAACATTAGAGAAAAACCAGCTCAGCACATCCTCTGCTGGAGAACATCCAGATGTTTTCCTGGGGTATGGAGACTGAGACTGTGGCTACAAGGAAATTCAGGATCAGTGCAGGCAGCACGGGCCAAGCTGCACCTAGTAACCCTGCAGTGTGGGAGCACTGCAGGGGCTCATGACTCCTATTTCAGGCTCGCCTGCGCAATAAA